TTTGCTGCTGACAACCAAAACCAGCTGATCACATGCTCAAGAAGGACCATCAGCCTTTGAAGACCAAAGGACCATTGAGCATGTGATCAGCTGGTTTTGGTTGTCAGCAGCAAAACTGGTTGATCCACTCTGAGAAGGTGCTATTTAAGAGACTGAGCTGAATATAGCACCTCAGACTGAGGAAGTCTCTCGGATGAGAGACGAAACGTTTCAACATTTTTTTGTTGTTTTGCTTTGTTTCATTTTTTTGAATGTCCAGAGGACCAGATTTAACATTTTTAGATTTTTCTACCTGGATTATTGAGCATGCATCAGGATGCTATGGTCCCTTCAGTCCATTTTTCCTGCACCAGGCGGTCATGTTCTTGCAAGGTGTCCATCACCATAGACAGTCCACTAAGTCTGGTGCCTTGTGCTGGACAACCTCCCGGCCACCCGCCTGACATGTCATGTTCCAGGGTATTGGACAGCTCGCCGGACCTGCCACAGCCTGTTGGACAGTCTCCCGGCCGCCCACCGGATCTTCCCCAGCGTTTTGGATGGCATCTCGGCCGCCCCCCTAAACTCGCTCCTAGTACTGGACGGTCACCCGCTGGATTTGCCCCAGCATTTTGGACGGCCTCCTGGCCGCTTGTCAGATTTGCCCCAGCATTTTGGACAGCCTCCCGCCCGCCCCCCTGAACTCGCTCCTAGTACTGGACGGCCTCCCGGTTTTGACCCAGAGTTTTGGATGGCCTCCCGGCCACCCCCTTGAACTCGTTCCTAGTACTGGACGGTCTCCTGGCTGCCCGCCGGAACAATAACCGCACAGACTTTTTTGTGTGTTCCCCTGTTTGTGTCTAGTTAGTTCCCTGATTTTGTTTTTTGTCAGTTTGTTATTGTCATGTTTTGTCTTGGCCCTCCATCTTTACAGTTCCTCCCTCCACCCACCCAAGTCTTTTTTTTTTTTTTTTTGGGGGGGGGGGGGGGGGGGGGGGGTAACTGTAGGGATGGCGCCATCTTGTGGGCCTTCCCTGTCTGTGCACCATTGTGTGCATCTCATTATTCTTGATTAATTCCATCTTCCGTTCCCAGATGTTTATAATCATGTCCTGTCTTGTCTGTGTATTTAAGCCTGTCTGTGAGTCTTGTCCTTTGTCCGTCATCGTTGGGTCTTCCTTGTCCTGTACTGATGTGTCCTGTCATGTTCCAGTCCCCAGAGTGTGAGTTGCTGCCACGTCAGCCATTTTGGATTATTATTAAATATCTATATTTTGGTACCTCCTACATCCAGAGTCCTGTCTGCAACTATTGGGTTCGCTCCTTGCCTGATAAATACAGACAATGCCATGATCTCCAGCTGTCACTGGAACGGTTCACAGCCGAGTGTGAAGCAGCTGCGATGAGAATCAGCAGCTCCAAATCAGAGACCATGGTCCTCAGTCAGAAAAGGGTGAACTGCTCTCTTTGGGTCAAGGGTGAGATTCTGTCTCAATTGGAAGAGTTCAAATGTCTTGGGGGTTTTGTTAACAAGTGAGGGAAGAATGGAGCGTGAGACTGACAGATGGATTGGTGAAGCCTCTGCAGTATTGCAGATTCTGTGATGGTCCATTTTGGTGAAGAGGGAGCTGAGCTGTAAGGCAAAGCTCTCTGTTTACTGGTCGGTCTACGTTCCTGCCCTCATTTATGACCATGAACTATGGATAGTGATAGAAAGAATGAGATTGTAGATACAGGCAGTTGAAATGAGTTTCCTTCACAGGGCAGCTGGGCTCTCCCTTAGAGATTGGTTGAGAAGTTCAGTTATCTGGGAGAGACTCAGAGTAGAACCGCTGCTCCTCCACATTGAAAGGAGCCAGTTGAGGTGGTTCGGGCATCTGGTTAGTATGCTTCTTGGGTGCCCTAGGGGGAACTTGGAGCATGTCCAACTGGGAAGAGACCTTGCAGGAAACCCAGGACATGCTAGAGATACTATGTCTCTCAGTTGGCCTGGAAATGCATTGGGGTCTTCCCAGAAGAGCTAGAAGAGGTGGCTGTGGAAAGAGATGTCTGAACTTCCCTGCTCAAGCTGCTGCCCCCGAGACCCAACTTTGGAACAAGCAGAAGATAATGGATGGATGGGACAGTTCAGGTTTTAATGATCAAATTGTACTGTGTATGACCTTGACCATGTCTTTAAGTGTCATCAAGAAGTGATGTCTCTGCTCCTTGCCGACAGGGAACAAGTTGATTTTGTTGTAAAGATCTCGCAGCTCTCTGGCTCTGATGGTGTGCGGAGTGTCCATCTGGAGAAGATGACCATTAGCTGCTCGCCACTGATGAGGAGCTGCAGACTAGACCACAAATATGAAAGCATCAGTACTGCTGCGGGTTAAGTGTTTACAGTATGAGGTAATGTAGCATTGCAACAAAGCCATGAATATTTGGAAAGAAAAATATATTTGGGATTTGGGTTGAAAACTACTGGTACTTGGTGAACAGTACACAACAAGGGTACAACATGAATGAAGGTAGACAAAAACATAATGTGCCCAACATAGAATACAGATTTCAAGACATGCACACAAAAAACGTGTAATTTTTAAAAAAATGGACACAAACATGGCCACACATTTCTTTGTTCGCAAAGATTCATAGTTCAATGAATGTTGTCAGACTGAGGAAGTCTTTTGGATCAAACACGAAACGTTTCTACATTTTTTTGTTGTTGTTGTTTTGTTTTGTTTTTTTGAATGTCCAGAGGACCAGATTTAACTTTTTTAGATTTTTCAACCTGGATTATTGAGCATGCATCAGGATATTCAATGAATGTTCTTTTTTAGGCTGTATCCGCTTCAGGGATCACCAAATTGAGTCATCCTCCTCAAACTCACTTTCACTTCCGGCGAGCTGATGGACGGCAGCTCCCTCTGGCTTCTCTGCAGTCTTTTATCATCAAACTGACCCGTTTTTTTGAACCGGACTAAAGTTGGTTGCCCTTCCAACTGAATTCGGTGTTCAGTGACTCAGAGAGCCAGACGGGACCGTCCATAAATATATTTTGGTCCAGGACCGGCTGCTCCCACTTCACTGGTCACTCTGACCGCACCCTGCCGACCAGGTGACCCCTCGAGCTGGGGAGTCGTTGCATGAAGGTCTGGTGTTTTTCCTCTCTCTCTAGACCCCATTGTACTTCTCATCTGGACCTTTGTGGTTCTACCTGGTTCCGACAATAATCGCCAGGTGGTATTTCACGGGTTTTCTGCTGGACTGGCCCTTGTGGTGTCTTTATTGGTGTGGGAGAAGTGTACCTGTGACCCCCCCAAACTGGACCAGACCAAACCGAGGTGGCTGTGGGGGGACTTCGTCTTCAACAGAGCCAGTCTCAGCTTTAGTGAGCAGCCTGTCACTTTTAACAAAGGACTGTCCACCTCTGTGGAGTCGTTGTGTTCACCTGGAGGAGAGCTGTGGAGCGCCATAGCCGGACCAGAGCAGAACACCGGACCGGACCAGTGACGACTTTAGCCTCAGCCTCTCCAATCAGTCTCGTTTTTCAACGGGGGTGCCTCTCGTGCTGTCGGGTGCGGAGGTGACGTGCAGAGAAGCGTTTGAGCAGAGTGAAGGAGCAGCGAGGAGGAGCAGGGCTGCGTGGTGCTCGAGATAAGTTCGGAGTTTGCATCTGAGTTGCTACAGGCCTCCATCCAAACTCACCTGGATAATAATTATTTTATTCCGGATCACGCTGTTGTCCCCTCTTAACCTGAAACGAGCTAGGACCGTGCCTTTCACTTCAGGGGGATTTTCTGGCAGCTCACTTTGCTATTTGCTACAAATTATCTGTTTCTGTTTCTGCCTGTTGGTTCTGCACACATCTTCTGTTTCTCATGGGAGCATCCATCCATCTTCACAGGGGGGCCGGAGCCCCCTTCAGCCCAACTCAAACTGCAGTTGGTCCACCTCGTCGGGTTTGTTTGCCCATTGTGACGTTTTATGGTCTGAGACTTTTCTGCACTGTTCATATTATTGTCACTATTTTCAGATCTCAGACTATCTGGAGTCACTGAATCTTGTTAATACACCTGGATCTGCCCATCATTGCAACTTTCACTGTTTTTGGGTTCTGAATGATTGCGTCTTCATTAATGTTTCTCATGGTTCAATTATGGGGGCTAATTGTCACAGCGTTAACTCCTATAATTACACATCAGTCACAAAAAACTCAAGAAAATGTCTGATAATAATGTTGTTACTGCTCTCAGGGATTCAGCCCAATCCTAGACCCCCCACTAATTACAGCACACCAAATGACTTTAAGAATGTTTCTGGACTTAATTTTCTGCATGTAAACGCACATAGCCTTCTGAAAAAACTTGATGCTTTGAAAATTCTGGTCAGTTCTTCTGGGGCAGATGTAATCTTCATCTCTGAAACCTGGCTCAACAAATCTGTAATGAATAATGACCTGGCAATCAATGGATTTAACATCTACCGCTGTGATCGTTAAACAAGGGGCGGAGGAGTCGCTGTTTACATCAGAGATTCTCTGGTTTCTAGTCTTGTGTCTACTGAAACAATTCCTAACCAAACTGATGCCTTGGTTGTAAACATCACTTTGAATGGAGGCCAGATTTTATCTGTAGTCTGTTGTTATCATCCACCTTCAGCAACACCTGAGGCTCTGCCCTACCTGTTGGAATTCCTTGTTAATTTAAAATTCAAAGAGATCTTTTTGGCAGGAGATTTCAACGTTGACTGGGGTAAGTAGACCCCCCTCTGTGATAAATTCAAGGAATGTTGTCTGTCTCTCATTCTTACCCAATTGATCAAGTCCCTGACAAGATAAAACAAAAACCGTCCTGAAAAGTCCTCCATCTTAAACCTGTTTCTAACAAATATGCCTCACAAATTCCCTGGTAAAGGTGTATTTGCCAACATTTTGAGTGATCATTGTGTGACAGCGACTCTGAGAGAAATTAAACTTCCACCTTATAAACCCAGATTAATTCAAAAAAGGGATTCAATTCAATTCAGTTTATTTATATAGTGCCAAATCACAACAAAGTTGTCTCGGGGCACTTTATAGAAACATTCGCATACATAAAAGCCAATTAGTAAAGTTCTCTATCTAAGGAATCCAGCAGACAAGTTGAATCTTGGCTTCGTTACAGTCTCCCATCCTGAGCAAGCACAGTGGAGACAGTAAAAAGGAAAAACTCCCTTTTAAAAGGAAGAAACCTCCAGCAGAACCAGGCTCAGGACAAGTGGCCATCTGCTTTGACCGGCTGGTGAAGAGGACAGGAAGGAGAGACAGACGAACATAGAATAGTAGGTCCAGGTATAGGTCCAGGTGTATCTGAAAGACAAAAAAAAAACATGTTAAGGATAGAAAAAATAATTACAAATACAAAACAGGTTGAGCAGAGTAAGTAAAGATAGTAGTAGACTGAAAAGTGTGGTCAGTTTGTCCTCCAGCAGTCTAAGCCTATAGCAGCATAACTAAGGGACAGCTCAGGAAACCCAAGCTGACCCTAACTATAGGATTTAGTAAAAAGGAAAGTCTTAAGCCTAGTTTTAAAACTGGATAATGTGTCAGCCTCACGGACAGAGATTGGAAGTTGGTTCCACAAGAGAGGAGCCTGATAACTGAATGATCTGCCTCCCATTCTGTTTTTGTAAATTCTAGGAACCACAAGTAAACCTACAGTCTGAGAGCGAAGTGCTCTGTTAGGAAAATATGGAACAATAAGATCTGTAATATAAGATGGAGCCAGGTTGTTGAGAGCTTTGTAGGTTAGAAGTAAGATTTTGAATTCTATTCTGGATTTGACAGGTAGCCAGTGGAGAGAAACTAAAACTGGAGAAATATGATCTCTCCTACTAACTCCAGTTAAGACTCTGGCAGCAGCATTTTGGATTAACTGAAGACGTTTTAAATAATTATTTGGACTTTACAATCTACATACATAATGTAGGTAAAAACATCCCTAATGCATCCATACATTTCTATGCTGACGACACAGTTGTTTATTGTCGAGCTAAAACTGTTGATAAGGCTTTCCAGCTTTTGAAATCTGCATTCAACAACATCCAGACAGATTTGTTCCGCCTCAAACTTGTCCTAAATGCTGACAAAACCAAAGGGATGCTTTTTTTCCAAATAGCAAGTTGGTCCCAGAAATTCTTCCTCCGATTTTATCCTCAAATGGTATCCCGATTGAGTTTGTTGATTCCTATAAATATGTGGGTATCTTGGTCGACTCGCATCTCTCTTTTAAGCTCCATGTGGAAAACTTGGTAAAGAAACTGAAAGTTAAACTGGGTTTCTTTTTCAGAAACAGATGCTGTCTAACCCTGAACGCTAGGAAACACCTTGTATCTGTGAGTTTCCTTCCCTCCATTGATTACGGTGACATTATTTACATGAATGCTCCTACAAGAACCCTGCAGATGTTGGATGCTGTCTATCATGATGCACTAAGATTCATAACTGGCTGTGATTATTGTACCCACCACTGCACCCTGTATTCACTGGTTAACTGGACATCATTAATTTCACGCAGACTCTCTCACTGGTACATTTTCATCTTTAAATCACTTCTTGGTCTGCTGCCTTCATACATCTCCTCCTACATGTCTCTGTGTGAGTGCAGCTACAGCGTGCGCTCTCAGGACATTATTACCTGCAGTGTTCCCTCAGTGAGGACTGAACTAAGCTAAAGGGCCTTCTCCTACTCCACTCCTGTTTCCTGGAATATCTTACAAAAAGATTTGAAGCTCTCGACCTTGACCTCTCTAAGTGGCTTTAAGAATCTCTTGGACTCCTGGCAGGGACCAATGCTGACATGTTCCTGTTTTTAGTTTTCTACATTCACCTTAGAATCTAGCTGTTCTTTTTTTTAGCCATCCTATTTGTTAAAAAAAAAAAAAAACTGGAATATGACTTTTTATAACTGTTTATTGTTGTCACTGTTGTCCATTGTTTTCATCATTCTTTGTTGAAATCAGGTTTCTCTTATAAATGAGTCCTCGAGACTCAATGGGATTTACCTGTCTAAAAAAAGGTTGAATTTTACTCTGTCCTCTGTGTCCTATGTCCTCACTCTGTCTTCTGCATCCTCTGTCCTCACTCTGCCCTCTGCCCTCATTCCAACTACACCCATGTTCTCTCTAACTGCATTTGTATATCTCCTCTTTGTCTTTTTTTCTGGCAGTTGCATTTCTAACATTTTTCTACCAAAATACACACTGTCCATCCCCTGGACATGTCCAAAGCACTGTCGCTCCTCTGGACATGTCCAAAGCACTGTCGCTCCTCTGGACATGTCCAAACCACTGTTCCTCCTCTGGACATGTC